TCCCCAAATGGTAATGCTTACCATCTAAAATATCCAATCATAATGAACGCCCATCCTGGAGTCTAACACAGGTGGCTTTAGGTCTCCATCTTGGCCCACCATAGAACGGTCGATCACGCCGAATCCACGACCCACCACGTTGTTATGCAGCGATGGTGCCCTCGTTGGTTACGCAACGATAAGCAATTCTCCCTATCTTGGTACCCTGAAGGGTCCCGACTCTTGACTTAATCGACCCCAATGACCTTCCCTCTAGCTAAACCTCCCCGGGCGGCCGACCCTTCAAGACTCAACCTTTGGTAAGCCATGGTCCCGCTGCCAGGTTGTGCCGGTCAGCGGCCCTCGCTGGGAGTTGGGTTCCACAGTTCCATCATAAGTATAGCCCCTTAGCTTGGCCTCACAAAATACACCCCTTGGACTACGTGGAGGGATAGTGCCTTTCTCAACCACTCCACCAAATTTCTCAGTAATTCCACAAGGTCGTGCCTCCCTTACTTTTATCAGAGTAGGCGAGGTCACACGTCTTCAGGGATCTCTCAAAATATTTTCCAGAGTTTTATCATAATTGCCAGGAATTTTCATCCATTATTCTCACAAATTTTTTGGCCTTTCCTCGTCAAACTTATGTACACAAAAAAATTTATCATCATTATAGCATCTCTTTTAAGTGGTCTCACAATTTTCATCCCTTTACGAAAGTCCAATCGACCAATGGGTTTCCCTCTCCCCTTTCCACATCATATAGAAGACACAAATTTGGTTGTGACTTTTCCATTCGTCATATAAATCTTTACAAAATACAACATGTCATCCTTTGCTCAAAATCCTGAGGGGCACTCCCTCCCATTATACTTTGGGCTCCACTTGTCACTTGGACCCGGATGCGCAAGTACAGCGGAAGGAAGCACAAATCAATTCATTTCACAACATTCATTTCATCACACCATCGTCCATATGGGCAATTCCACAAACTGAGAGTGAGTGTGACATATTATCGTTGCGGAGACTAAGCGTACCCTTAAGTTAGGGCAACTTAGTCATACGTCGTTTGTGATTGTTTAGGCAGATCAGGCGTACCCTTAAGTTAGGGCGGCCTGGTCATATTGTCTTATGTACCTAAAACTGTTCAAGCTAAGCTGGGCGTACCCTTAAGTTAGGGCGGCCTAGTGATATGCTCTTGTCGATGATGTTATGTAGGTTGGACGTACCCTTAAATTAGGGCGGTCCAACCTTTTGTCGTTCGTACTTGTTTTAGGTAGGTTAGGCACACCCCTAAGTTGGGGCAGCCTGATCCTATGCCCTACGTAACCTTGTCCAAAGTTGGCTAGGCATACCCTTAAGTTAGGGCAGTCTAGTTTATGCTTCATGTTATCAGTTAAGCAGAAGCCAGACGTACCCTTAAGTTAGGGCGGTCTGGTCATATGTTTTATGATTAGAGTCGATGTGGTGTCGGGCATACCCTTAAGTTAGGGTAGTCCAGTTGTGCGTAGTTTACTTGTTTACCTAGGCAGGTTGGGCATACCCTTAAGTTAGGGCGTTGTCTGATCCTATGCCATAAGCAAGGGGGTCTACTAAGGGAAAAACAACTGAGTGATCTAACGAACTACTTGGGTTAAACTTATGTGGGATTGTGAGAGATGTTTGCTTATGCATGCATGTGGGGTCTCTGTCTGGGGCGTCTTTTCGATAGGTTAGTCGCTTTAGCTGCTCGCCAAGTGCTGGAGCCATAGGTAGATGAGATGGATGATGGGAGGGAGAGCTTGGGATAAAGATAGGACTGACCTCACTTGAAGATATAATTGATGATAGTTCAATACAATTATCTTCAATCCTAACTTAGTCCCAAGTATAGCTTTGCTTCGTTTTTTTGTTTTCAGCTTTGTTTGGCAGCCTCCTGTTCCTATGGGAAGCGCTGCCGAAATTTTTACAAATCTGAGAGAGAGTTTTTCTTGGACTCGTAGAAATTATGGAAAGGCACTTTTCCTACGGGAAAGGCTGCCGAAATTTCGTAGAATTCGTAGAGTTAGAATATTTTCAGCTAGGAGCTACTTAGTAGATCTACCCTGAATAGGGGAGATACTCAAGGACTTGGTACTAGTGAGGAGAGCTGACAATGAGATTAGCAGAGGAACTAGGTTACGACTTAGGGAGTATTCTCCCTTTTGGCATGAACATAGTAGTGGTTCTTTTTTGCCTGTGCTGTGATGCAGGTCTCCATATTTCGATTGAAGGCTTGATCTATTCAGCCTGGTCCTTCAAAAGGATCACTCTTCTGTTATCACTGATAATAGGTCGGTTGCCGATTCGTCGGTTCACGACTCAACTTTCCTGTTCCTTCTGCTTCTCAACCTAAGGCCTTGGCCCTTGCTAGGTTTTATGTTTTCTTTTGGGTTTTCACCCAGATTCTTTATAAGTGGCCATCTCCTAAAGACCGAGTATGTTTGTTGAGGAATGGTGGGGAAATGGTTGGGCTTGTAAGGCAGGGTGTGAGCTGCAGAAGGCTGAAAAGTTGACCCCTTTTGTGTATGTGATGTTGTTTGAATGCTGTGCGTATGATTGCAGGTATGTATGGGAGAATCTCGATTAAGTATTTTGGTTAATGATTATGGTTTGGATTCAGATGGCCAAACCACACAACTGTCGTGAGAGTGAACTACCCCACGACTTTTTGTTTCAGTGAGATTGTTTTTTTCCCATCCTGATAATGTGATAGTCAGAGTAAGCGTACGCTCGGGTAACCCTCATTGGGCTATGCGACCGCACGCCTACGTTTTCTTCACTCAATGATTTGACTTGGTCGGACGTTAGCCCCGAGCTGGAATTCGAGGCCCTTGTCCGGGTCGCCTTAGGTCCCAGGCTCAACACAGAAGGGGTTACCCCTCGTGCGAAGGCTGAGTTACTCCTTTGCACGACGCCGTTCCGTAGAAACAAGAGCGCCGCGAGGATGAGGGGTTGTCCCCCAGCAACTCGGTCCGGTGGGGTGTTCATGTTTTCTTCTGCTAACGTCAAATGTCCTTTTTTCTTTTTCCTTGTTTTAAATTATTTTGGTGGAACGATAGAGTTCTGGGCGGAAGGGTTACCGTGTCGCTGGTGATGCGCCAGACAACTCACCACCGCTCCGAATTCCTTCCTGCCCTAGGGACCATTTACCCCACACCCTCTAGGACACCTCAGGGTGCTGAAGACGGTAAGGCCCTCAAGCCGATTTTGCGCTCGCTTAAGGTTTTCCCCCCCTAGCGCGCACTTCAGCCGACGCCTGAGCGTCGAGAGCGACCTCATGGCTCAGATGAGGCCACTCGGGCATGGGCACTACATAATGCGTCATCATCACGACTGCTAGCGTAGGACTGCATCACTGGTCGGTATGCGTAAGTCCTGCTTCCGCGCGGTTTTATACTAAACCTCGCACGCAACACTTATCGATTTCCGCAATGGGAAGTTATGGGTCAAGCGGAGCGGACGGGAGCGCGTTATGGCCAGTAGACCCGAGTTTCGGTAGCGTAGAACGACGCGTGGGCGAGGTACCAGTCCTAGTCGGCCTATGGGAATCCGCGTACGAGCCTCCAACGTTTCGAACATCGGGTTGCTTATGGGTCTGACATTGGCATTATCCACACGCATTTTCCACGATTGGCCTGCCCCTCCTATTTGATCAGACTATACAAGGGGGAATATGGGATAGGCAGAGAGAAAAAAAAGGGGGTGAGCCTCTTTCCCTATCTGCGGTTGCTTCCTCCTTTGAATTTTCATAGTTGGACGTTGTAGTCCATGGCAGCCGTCAAAGTCAAACCCCTTGATTTTTGGCTTACCACGACAGCCCTGAGGCTGTCTACTGAACCCCTCTGCACAGGGTGCAGAAGAGGGTGTGGTCTCCAACCGCGCCTGGCGGTTGTCTAGTGCCGAGAGGGTAACTTCTCAAAACGCTCGTCAGCCGACACTTGAGTGTCGAAAACGATCCTCGAGATTATCAAGGGCCGCGCGGTTACGAGTAATACATAGTACCCCATCAGCGCGAAGGCTTGCGTATGCCCGCATGGCTGGTCGATATGAGGAGGCCATGCGCTCGCACGACTCTTATACAAAAATCCAGCGCGCGATACCTATCTGATTCTCGCTGCAAAAAGTTATGGGTTGGATACTAAAGGGGCTAGGAATGTTGTTGTGTTATTGTGTTATGGTGTCGTGTGTTTTTAGGTGCGAGTGTTGTGGTGTAACGCGTGGTGTGTGTGATGCGTCCTAGTCGACGGGCGTCAAGTCGCGTTTGAGACCTCAGCCCCGCAGTGCGTTGATCCGCGTACGGGTTCGATTTTTGGGCGTTCGACCGCGCGTAACCCCTATGCTACAGCGAACGAGAAACGCCCTCGGTTGGGCCACCTCTGCAATTGCATATGAAAAGCCTTCGCATGTGGTTAAGTAGCTCGGCGGGGATATGCCCACCTAAGGGATGGTGACAGCTCCCGCAGGTGGAGGTAAGCGGTGCCTCGTGTGACCCTGTCCTGTCGTAGGGGCTCGCGAGAGGTACGGCTGGCGCACTCGGCCGGAGCGGCAAACGCTCTCCGCGACAAGTCTTGCAAAATCCTGCGTGACGCGGCCGGGAGGGTCCCCGTGCGGGACCGATGCGCTCGACAGGTGGCGCCGTTGCCGGGGATCTCGGCAGCCTACCGGGGTCCTTAAGAGAACGAACCCAGGTTAAGTGCAGGCTGATGATCCAAGGAAAACGACAAAACTTATGGTTTGGATTGTCTTATATAAGAGAAATGTATATGATATAAAAGATATGACACTGGCGGGAAACTTATATAATAGGAATAAGCGATTAGGAGTGTGACTAAAGATTGTAACTAAGGCTTTGGATAATTAGTAGTAGAGTGGCTAGTTGAACCTAGAGGTGAAACGATTGGATTGTCTGATGGGCTATCTTTTTTATTCCTACCAGGTTGGTTAGCAAGAGGATATAAAGATGTCGGACGCAGATGGAATCGAGCGAGGCTCGGCTGCTACGCCGGAAGATTTCGTCAAAGCCATTGAGAAAAGAGAGTTGGCACGGCTGCAAGTGCCGAAAGTTGACATCTTCTGGTTTGAAGGGGAAAGGGTGTCTAATGGCTAGAGTTGTTGGAGCAGATTATAGGCGAGGCATCTGATGAAGATAAGTTCAAACTTCTACCCCGGTACATCTGGTGGGAAATCCGGCCCGAAATTATGAAGGTGGCTGCTGAAGCAGGGGGAGACTGGGCCAAGTTCAAAGGAGAGATGCAAAGGCGTTTCAAGCTGGGGGATGGTCTGCTAACGAAGGCAGACCTAGAAATTTTACAATGAGATGAGTTCACTACTGTGGGGGCTTTCGCTACGGCGTTTGAAAAGATGGCAAGAAAGGTTCCAGGGATGGCAGAAGAAGAGCAGTGTGCAACCTTCCTGGGACACTTCACAAATTGGGAGGCCTCTGCGCTAACCATGAAAGGTGCGCCGGGGAAGAAGTTGACTTGGGCTGCTATAAAAGAGAGCGTGATAAACGGGGAATTGGACCAGGTTGACATCTTCCAGATGCGGCAAGCCAGGAAGAAAAGAAAGGCCTTGGATGCCACGACGAGCGACGGGCGAGACTTCAAGAAGATGGTAGAGGATGCGGTAGCCCAACTCGATGCGGCGAAGGAGGCAAAGGCAGCGAGAAAGGCTATGGCGGCACCACAGGCCCAAGGAAAAGCAAAGAAGACGGTGGTGCAAGAAGAGGAGGAAGAAGAGGAAGAGGAGCCTGAACCTCTAAAACAACGGTTCATAGGAAGGCAAAAAAATTGACTCAAGGGGGGCAAGGCTCAGGTCCCACAGGCAACAGTGCTGCCACCCCCTGAGTCGCATGGGCAGGCCGCGCCGGCACCATATGGGCCGTGGCCGAGCTATGGACCTCCAAGTCCTTGGCCTGGGTACAGTCCATACATGCCATGGCCGGTAAGTGGGCCGCATGGATCATGCGCAGGAGCACCATTGAGCACAGCTTCCTGCGGATGTCCAGGGCCCCAGTCCCAACAAGTAAACCACCCGAGCCTGCAGCCGAGCCAACCTCAACAGTCGGCACCACAAGGGTTGCAAGGAAACCAAGGCGGCGAACGGGGACAAAATCAAGGATGGGGCCGAGGGCGAGGGAATGGTGGTTGCGGAGGAAACGAAAGGGGAAATGGTGGTGGTAAGTCCACGGGAGGAGGAAACGGAGACTGGAATGCGTCAGGAAGTCAGGAAAGTCAGGAGGCTGGACGAGGCTTTGGTAGAGGAAGGATAGATTGGATGAATGCCATTTGCTGGCATTGTGGGCAGAAAGGTCACACCATCAAATTTTGCCATGTTCGAAGGAATGACGAAGATGAGGGGTTGATCAGTACCAATTATGATGGGGATATGTATGACAAATTTGGGTACTACATCGACCCAAAGACCCCTGGCGGAACGAGGAAGGAAGCCCTACGACGAGCCGAGGCAGGCATGCCACCCGCTCCTCCGGCTATGTTTCGGATTTGGCAAGAGAAGGAGGTCCGCTGTGACATAAGGGTGGAAAAAGTAGGAGAGAGTGAGGAAGTGGAGCAAGGAATGGCGGAACCATCAAAGAAGAGCCAATCATAGTGGAATCTGATGATGAGATAGAGGAAGATTGCTGGAACGAGCCACGAAAAACAAAGATAGGGGAAAATTGCTGGAAGGAGGCCCGACAAACGATGGAAAGGATGGAGGATTTAGTGGCTAAAGTCGGGAGGTACCAGCAAAGACTGGCCGATATGTGTGAAGAGGTTGAGTGGAGAGGTAGGGAGCCACTGGTATACCTCTACGATATGGATCCAGGGTCGCAAGGAGGGTTTGGGAACTTACTAGGCGTTACGACTTCAGGGTCGACGCCTCGGTCCGACCTGGCTTATAGGCCACCCTCCAGATTGGGGAGAGTACCACAAGCTGTCCGGACAAGGGCCAAGGGGCCGGTGAGCCCCGAGGAGCCGGCAAAAGATGTTCCGGAGCCTAGTGGGGAGAAAGAGGTCGTAGATGTTCCAGGGGAAGAGGAGGAAGAGGACGACGAATTGAGGAAGGAAGAGGACGAGAAGGCCGAGCAAAGGGCCAGAAAGAGAGGCGCTAAAACTGATACGGACAAGGCCTCATAAGGAAAGAAAAAGAAGTACGCTGTCCGAGTGGAGGAAGGGTTTGACGTAGAGAAAATAATGGACAGGATCCTTGAAGGCCATAATCATCTTATGAACCTAAAAGACGTCCTAGCTTCGGCACCAAGGCTCAGGGATGAGCTGAAGGCGCGGTTATCTAGAAAAATGGTGGCCAGCGTACGATTAGGGCCGAGACCGGTACGAAGATGGATTGGAAGTCTGTCGCATATGGGTGCCTTGATATAGTGGTAAAGGGAAAGACTTGCAGAACTATGGTGGATAATGGCGCCAAGATGAACCTCATAAAAGAGGAGCATGCTATGCGCTTAGGGATGGAAATAAATCGCTCCGACAACGGGGTCTTGATGGGAGCGAACAATCGGTCAGTATTCATAGGGACCGCATCAGTGGTGATTCGGGAAATTTGGAAAGTAAAAGTTAGGAGTTGTTTTTTTGTAATGCCTGATCTTGATCACCCCATTCTACTGGGTAGATCGTTCCTGAGTCGAACAGAGACTGTCATACTTAACAAACATGACGGGACTATGTTTTGTTCCTCGTTTTGTGCGATCCAGTTTGTGGCAATTATGAGGTTGTCACTTGCAAGAATACAGGACCTAGGAGTATAAGGAACCGGCCCAACCCTGGTTCTTTCACAATTGAAGAATCAGAAGAGGAAAGATTGAGGATTGGAGGCAGTAAGTTTGAAGAAGAAAGAGAGCCAGAAGCACTGACTCTGAGCCTGGCAAGCATAGGTGATGCCATGGACATAGTATCGACCTATGGGACGGTGGATCCGGAGGCTGTGGAAGCCTTAAGAGAGAAGGTGGTGGAACAGATGGGAGAAGGAGAAATGAAATTGGTATATCGAACGCCGGGAAGGATAGGTGGAATAATTGGAGACCAACCCCAAAGTGCAACTCGACCTTTTTTAGGGGTAGGCTCAAGCAGGGGTCACAAAGGCGGTACAAAAGAGTAGATCAGAAATGTCGCCCTGTTCCCGTGCTCGTTGCTGAAGAGCAAGAAGTTTACTACGAGCGGGAACGAGAGTTGATACGGCAGATGCGAGAAGACGCGGAAAATAGGTCGTGCCGTATCACTCCTGAAACAGAGAAAGCGTTGATTATAGGGGAGTCTGGCTTCCTTACAGCGCAAGAGGAGAAGCTTATGGTGGATACCATAAGAGGAAGGCACACTGCATATGCCTTCAGTGATGGTGAGAGAGGTCGTCTGGACGTGGACATAATCCCTATGATTAGGATACACACCGTACCTCACGAGCCATGGAACTTGCGAGGTGCGCGATATCCTAATCCAGCCGATGAAGAAAAGGTAGTCAAATACCTTGATGGGAAGATCCGCACACATGTGGCAGACTACTCGAGTGGGCCGTATGCATCCCCCTGGTTTTGCTTTGTCAAACCCAATGGGACTTTGAGGTGGGTACAGGATTTGCAGCGCTTGAACGCTGTAACAGCGAGAGACGCAGGTGGTCTCCCCAACGCTGATGCGCTTTCAGAGGTCTGCGCTGGGAGAGCCATAATATCTCTCATAGTCTTATATTCGGGTTACGATCAATTTCCTGTGTACCCATCTGATAGACCGCTGACGGCTATGCATACCCCTCGAGGGTTGATTCACATGAACGTCGCGCCGCAAGGGTGGACGAATGCGGTCACCATGGTCCAGAGACACATGGTGAGGGCAATGCAACCAGTAAGCCCTCACATCACGCAACCATATATTGATGATCTGGCCGTGAAAGGGTCTAAGGAGAAGGATGAGCAGGAGGTGGTGCCAGAGGTTAGGCGTTTTGTTTGGGATCATGTGCAAGATCTGTGCAAAGTCCTGGACCTGCTGAAGGAGCATAACCTAACCGCCAGCGGATCAAAGTCAAGGCACTGCATGCGCGGGGACACGATCTTAGGATTTGTGTGCGACGAGAGGGGTCGTCGGCCAGATACTAAAAAGACTAATAAGATTCTCGAGTGGCCAACCCCGTTCGAGACCATCACCGAGGTAAGGAGCTTTCTGGGAACGTGTGGATTTTGGAGGATCTTCATAAAGGGGTTTGCGACAAAGACTGAGCAGTTGCGGAAGCTTGTGCGTCAGGGCCAAGGTTGGAAATGGGGAGATAAGCAAGAGTCAGTAATAGAAGGTCTGAAAAAAAAGTTTGAGGAAGGGGGTCTAGTACTAGGGGTACTAGATCATGCGGCAGTGATGACCAAAGCATTCATTGTAGAAACGGACGCAGGGCCAACTGCTTTAGGAGGTGTGTTGATCCAACAAGACCTCAATGGGGAAGAACGACCATTAAGGTTTGAGAGTCGAACGCTTAATACAGCTAAGAGGAACTACTCTCAGTTTAAGCGCGAAACCTTGGCAGTTCTTCACTGCTTAAGGATTTTTAGAAACTACCTCTTTGGCAGCGTTTGTATTGAGGGTGGACCCAACTGCTCTAGCTGGTTCTCTCAAGAATTTTGCTCCTTCAGACCCGACTATCGCCAGGTGGCTAACGTACATCTGGATGTTCGACTTCGAGTTGGAGCGAATTCCAGGGAACAAGAATAACCAAGAAGTGATCGAGGATACTCCACCAGTTGGCGGGTTCCTGGACAGTGAAAAGGATGTGAGACTTCACATCAACTCTTGGTCATTGGCCGTGGGTAGCTATATTACTCCCTAGGTGACCTGTGTGGCTTGCGCCTCTAGGACAAGTACGACGACCAGACCTAGTCCTTAAGCCCTATGTTGAAGAAGACTCTTGGGGAATGCCAGATGTGGATTGGATGATGGATATGGTTTTAGCGGGCAAGTACCAATTACATGAGGACCTGCTTACGATTGAGAGTGTGGCTCTGCAGGTGGAAAAACACGAGAAGGCGATAGGTGGGATATATCTCCTGGCTAATGTGCTGCTTCAAGAGAAGGTGGCCAGAAATACGGTGCAAAGTCAGGAAGGAAGTGATAATGTAATCCACGAAAGGGAAGATGATGATTTTGAGGAAGGAGAGATTAAGGAAGCGTTTCGGGCAGAGGAATACGAGGGATTATACCTTGAACTCGGAATGCTTCTTTCGTGTCAAATGAGAGAAAGGGACGCTTGCGAGAGAGTTTTGAAAATGAGGCCAAACTTTCTAGCAAGGGATGGCCATCTGTTCATGAGAAGCAAAGGGAAGGCTCCCAGAAGAGTAGTCTGTGGCGTCACTCGCCAGATCGACATTATGGCAACGCTACACGATGGTACGACAGGTGGCCACATAAGTACAAACGCGACATATCTCAAGATACACGAACTGTACTATTGGGATGGCAGGGGACAAATGATTGATGACTATTGTAAATCTTGTGTACCATGCCAGGAGCGATCCTCTCTTAGGCCTAGGGAGCCGCTTCACCCGAGGTATGTTCGTGAGGTGGGAGCAGTCGTTCACCTGGACCTATTGGCGATGCCACTGGGAGTAGGGAGTTATAATTTTATCTTTGATGCGCAGGACAATCTTTCTGGTTTTGTAGATGGCAGGGCCATTCGCACATAGACTGGTGAGACGCTGACCCAATGCATCGAAGAGTATTACCTGCGGTACCCCTTTGTCTTCAGATTTGTGATGGATAGAGGGTCCGAGTTCACCTGTGCAGAAGTGAAGATACTTTTGAAGAGGTATGGGGTAATCGCCGAGTACACTACTGCGGCGCACCCTCAAGCTAATGCACCTGTGGAAAGAGGACATAACACCATCACGAATCTTCTCGCCAAGTGGACCGATGGCAGGCCCAATCAGTGGCCGAACTTTCTAAAGGTCGCATTCTTCGTGGATAATATCACTGTCAGAAGAAGCACCGGCTATGCATCGGCCACACTATGGTATGGCAGGCAGGCGACATTCCCCATCGAAAGCTTCCTAAAGACATGGAGGCGGCAAGACCTCGAGACTAATCTGACATTTGAGGAACTGCTTAATTCAAGGGCACGTCAGATTGGCGCTATAGAGGACATAATTGAGGAAGCAACAAGTAGGGTGGCTGACAGCCGTACCAAGGACAAGTTCAGGTGGGATAAGATGGCGAGGGTAAGGAAAGAACCTCTTAAGGTGGGAGACATTGTGTTGTTATATGACTCGTCCTAGGAAAAGCAGTGGTCGCGGAAGTTGGATAAGAGGTGGCTGGGACCATATAGAGTCACCAGGAGTGGTGAGCATGGAGCCTACTAGATTGAGGAACTCAATGGGACGGCGTGGAAAGACTGGGTGTCAGGCTCGAGGCTAAAGAAGTTTGTTGCTCGACACGATGAGAGCATGGATCTCACCAGATAGAGTCACCCTCTGAGTACCTCGCATAGGAATATTAGTATAAGTAGGATGAATAGGATATTGTTCTCAGTAGAATAGCGTGATAGGTTATGTTTTTTTTTTGGATAGACTT